GTACAGCAGTAAAAAACGTTTGTCCTTTTGTCACTTCTTAAAAAATTCTTCATATCTTTAACAGACCTCTTTTGTACATCTAGTAAGAAAAAGTATCCAAATCGCTTTTCTCATTTAGTAGTTGTATATCTCCTTTAAGCAATGAAACAACAATTGGTTTAGTTTGTATGTTCAGTACTTCTTTTTCCATATCATTCTCATTACTTGTCACACTTAAATCCACATTCAAATTAATTTCAAACTTATCCAGTGTAGCTTGTTCTTCTTCTGTAACTTCATCAATGCACCATTTGTTTATCATATCAGATAATTCTGAAGAGCATTGTTGAAAAATATCCATCAAAAATTCTACTGTTAGAGTATTTTGCTCCATTTTTACCTTAATTAAACTCTTTATTGTCTTCTAGCTTCCTCTAGTGTCCAACCTTCAAAGTCCCATATCATGTTTTCTTTTAAAGAAACCCAAAGAAGCACTGTTTCCCATGGGAAGGGCTCCTAATTAATTTAAACTTATAATTCCAAGTCTATCAGGACCCTTAATCCATTGTTAACTTTCCCAAATCAATACTCTAAGCACCCTTTTGCTGTTTAATCCAAAAACTGATATTTTTCCAAAACTTTAAAATCATATTTAAATTTTTTTTCTCCAAGGACAAGGCGACTCACCCAACGAATACTGTATAACTTGCTGTTCCGAAGGGTCTTAGTATTTCAAAGACAATAAAAACAAAACAAATCCAAAGTGATTAAGAAATGAGGCTCAGTCAAGCTTTATGTCCTTAAAAAAGGCTGCATTCACAACTGTGAGCAAAGATGGTTCCTCCCTTGACACCCAGCCACTCAACTCATAAGCCAACCGCAAAACATCTATTCCTGCAGTCTACTTATGAGGAACAGCTGTGCAGAGTGCACATGGGCTATCTCAAGATGTCCCCTTACTCCAGGGAGTTTTTGGCAGCCAGGATCCTGCATCCAGCTGCTGATCTCTGTCGTAAATGGTGTCCCAATACAGGGGGGATGTCTAGCTCGCCATGGCGCTCTCACCAGAAGTCTCTCCTGAGCAAATCTTTGAGGAGCGATTCTTAATACAGTGCATCTAAAATGGTACTTGCAAGAAAACAGATAGAAGGATCAGCAGAAAACAGTGACTGATGACAGAAGGAAGGGAAAGATTAGAAGTTGTACCTTTTTCTAAGATAAAGTTTCTTATGGGAAAAATGTGGTTTACATCAGAAGATAAAGAGAAATAGAGCATTAACTGCCTCAGTAATACTTTCGATTTTGTGAGAATTCTGAGCCCTATTTCCAAGTATAATTCTTTTAATTCAGTAGCAAAATTCAAGGTAGGCAAAAATCCTACTATCAGTAGTGACAGAAGAGAAACCTCCAAGATACCTTACTTCATTTTTTTCTTGACTTACATCTCATCGTTGACTTCCATACATACAACTCTTTTTATCCATAAGGACTCACCAGTAGAAGAAGTAAAGAACAGCAACTCCTCTGAAATCATAATTCAAATCAGAAAATTGATCCTGCAGAGGAGGAGCTGGTCCCATGACCAGTCACTTGCTTCTATTTCACCTGGCCTAAGAGTGCTCTGAGGGAGCTTCAAGACTACTCTGGAAAGTCATTCCCCTCATTCCTAGCACCATAGCTCATGGCAATAAAACTTTAAAATATTCTTTTTTCATTATCAAAGAAAAGTAAAAATTGATTTCTCTTAAGAAAAAAAAAAACTAATACAGAGAAAGAAATAGATGAGCAAATACTGGTGAGTAATGTCTTGCAGAAAGATTGGAATAAAACTGGCAGCACACTGCTGCCCAGCAGAGATAGCATTTCAAGCATTATTTATATTCATCTTCTTAAAGCAAGTGAAAGATGCAATCCAGGCACTCCCAGTTGCGGTTGCTAAGTGAAGGATTTCAGCTCAATTTCTGCTCTTTCGCTCCATCCTCTTTCCCTTCCCATCTCTCAGCAGTCTGTTCCATTCACTGCTGAGAGAGGGGAGGGGAAAGAGGATGGAGTGAAAGAGCTCTTTCGCTCCATCCTCTTTCCCCTCCCCTCTCTCAGCACTGTGCTCCGTTCACCACTGAGAAAGGGGAGGGGAAAGAGGACAAAGAACTGTCTGCTAAAAGATGTCCTCTTTCCCCTCACCTCTCTCAACAGTGTGCAAGAAGGGAGCTCAAATCTTCAGGATTTGAGCTCCCTTCCTGCACAATGCCGCATCCCCTCCACTTGCAACCTTCCCTGCCAGCTTCCAATGGAGAAGCCGGAGGAGAAGACTGTAAATGGCGATCATATGATTGCAGAGTGCTTGGCTACTAGTCGTAAATGCCAGCCAGTTACCAAGCGCCTGAAATATGGCTACG